TCCGCGCTTCGCGCGGGTGGGGGAAACTAAATTATTTTCGAGAGCGGAACAACGAATCGTCTTCATTCTCTAAAAATTTAATGAAACGTCGAAGCGGGGGGGGGGGGGGGGAGGAACTGAATTTAGACAAGGATTAAGAGTCGAGAACGGTACAACGAAATGTCTTCTTTCTTTAATGATTTAATGAAACGTAAAAGCTTCCGCGCTTCGCGTGGGAGGGGGGAAACTGAATTTAGACAAGGAGTAAAAGTCATAACGGTACAACGAATCGTCTTATTTCGCTAATGATTTAATGAAACGTAAAAGCTTTATTCAGACGAGGATTATTTTCGAGAACGGTACAACGAATCGTCTTCTTTCTCTAATGATTTAATGAAACGTACAAGCTTCCGCGCTTCGCGCGGGAGGGAGGAGGGGAAAACTGAATTCAGATGAGGATTAAGAGTCGAAAACGGTACAACGAATCGTCTTCCTTCTCTAATGATTTAATGAAACGTAAAAGCTTCCGAGCTTTGCGCGGGAGAGGGGGATGAATTAAGACGAGGATTAAGAGTAAAAAACTGTACAACGAATCGTCTTCTTTTTCTAATGATTTAATGAAACGTAAAAACTTCCGCGCTTCGCGCGGGAGGGGAAAAAACTATTTTCAGACGAGAAGGCACGTACGGAAGGGGGGAAGGGGTTGGGGGGTTGACCCTCCCCCCTTCGGTTTTTTATGTGTTTTTTGGAGCAACCCCCCCCCCCCTTTCTGTGATTTTTTTTTTTTTTTTTTTAATTTGAAAAGTTTTTTTCAGCCAATGGCTGACCTAAAAATGGTGACCTCACCCCCCCCCCAACGGAACAAAATGTCAAATTTTCAAATTTCGAGGCCAAAAACAAAAAAGTGTCCTCTTCCCCCCCCCCCCCCCCCCGCTTATTTAGCGGCTGGCTGAGTCGTTACGATTTTTTTTCGGACAAAAAAAAAAGTGGCCCCCCCCCCCCCCTAAGAAATCCTGGATCCGCGCCTGCTACGAGCCGGACTTTGGTGCGTGAAAATTAACCCTTTACCGGACATTTTGGTAACACGCATGGTATCCATCCGATCACGGAGGGAGGGGGGGGGGGTAGATGTGGATCTATAATATAGTACTGGATATGGAGGGGGCATTAAACTGGTACAAAGAATGTATACAAATGTTTGCCTCTTTTAACAAATTGTACGTCAACACATCTTTAAAGCAGTTGTAAACTGCCTCAGAATCCACCTGGCAAATCCTCAGGTTCAAACAAAAGGAATTACTATGGGATAGGGGCCGGGGGGGGGGGGGGGGGTTCTGGAAAATATACAGCTGCGAACAACAATGGCCCCACAATGCATTCTGTTTATATAATATACATTGCAAATTATTTGTGTTACGACTTCACACAGTAGCGTACGCAGGATTTTTATGGGGGGGGGGGGGGGGAGGGGTTTAACATTTTAAAATCGGTCCGAAAATTTCGCAACGACTCAGCCAGCCGCTGAATAAGCGGGGGGGGGGGGGGGGGGGAGGGGGGGGGGGGGTAAGGAGTACACTTTTTTTTTTTGGACTCGAAATTTGGAAATTTGACATTTTTCTTCGGTGGGGGAGGGGGGGGGGGGTAAGGTCAACTTTTTTAGGTCAGCAATTGGCATAATTTAATTTTTTTTTTTTTTTAAACAAAAACAAAGGGGGGGGGGGGTTTCCTCCAAGATACACACATACGAAGTCCCAAGGGGGGGGGGGGTTAACCCCCGACCCCCCCCCCCCCCCCTTCACAGTTCACACAACATTGGGTGGTTCACTCCTTACACAGGGGTTGTGTTCAGCTTGTGTAAAATAATATAAACAACTTTACACTGCAAAATCGTTGTGTAAAGCTGTGTAATTATGTTTTTACCCAACGTTGTGTAAAGTCGTTACACAACGAATTTGCAGTGTATAGAAATGTCAACTTGCGTAGCTCATCTCATTCAATTTCACACTGTATATTCTTAGGCAGTTTATCGCATCATTACTAATTAATAGCACATGTAGGTGACTGGGGTGAACCTTCCCTGGAATAGTGAAGTGCTAGAGCTAAGTATACATGGAAAACATCTTAAAGTGGAAATTCAAAGAAGATCACAAATAATATCAACTAATGTATCACTAGAAACTGGTGGGCTAACAGATGGCCATCATATAATTTTTAGGTCAACTACATATCGGGTGATTTATAAAAATACAACCACCTCCAAAGCATCTGTGATATACGAGAGATTCGCCAGAAAATAACGATGTTTTAATGACGTCACATAATGGACCAATACTGCCCAAGCGGACGACATCCCATAAAGAATGAACATATTAATTGCAAAGCTATTATTTCTCGAATTATAATGAGTTTAGTATAATTGTGATGGCATTTCAAACTATTCAAAAGGGGATATGAAACCGATTCTGATAACTAAAATCTTTTGTTTGTAAATACACAGGAGAGGGGTTATTTAACAATCCGAGAAACCAGACTTTCAAATTGAAAACCCCCCGGAATGATATTAAGGACGGCAGTGTTCCTTCTTGAAACGCCGAACATACCGCGGTCTGTGCAGCTGAATATACAACGGCGTCTTATTTTGTTTACAAGCGACATATTCCTTTATTCTTGTATCGCTGCATTTGACATAAAAAAGGAAACCATACGCGATGTTTAGAGTGAGGCAATATATTATACATTTAGCCTGACGGCAGAAAAGTAAGAGAAAGAACTCAAGAGAGGATGAAAAAACAGGCCCTGAAAATATGTGAGATGTCATGGGACATCGTCTGCTTGTGCAAATCATGTCCATCCTGTGATCTCACACAGTCATCTCAGCAGCGTTCGGAGAGCGCTTCAGGTGCTATGCCGGGGCTGTATTTAAGCGTTTTTTTAATTTATAATAATCATTACTTCGAATGTTTCCAAGCATTGAATTTTGATAAACTTGTGGAATCAAAGTTTCAACATTGCAACAATGAAAATAAAGCTATTTTTAAAATCAATGAATATCTACTTTAAAGTTATCTCGCATCCGTCTGATCGAAGTTAGTGATCTGACAAGTAAGAAGCTGCTGTTAAAAGCTGCTAATGAAATCATGGCATGTGATTGGCTGAGAGCAAATTTGTCATATAAAATTAGCATTATTTTGTTATAGATAAAAAGTTTTATGCAACGGGTCCAATTTGTTCAGTGGCGAATATAGGGGGGCACAGAGGGCACGTGCCCCCCCCCCCCGGTAAAAATAAAGGGGGAAGAGGAAAGAGGGAAAAGAAAAAGGGAGAAAAGGAGAAAAAAGAGGGGGAAATGGGAGAGAAAAAGTGGAGAGGAGAAAAGGAGGGGGAGAGAGAGGACAGAAAAGGCGGAAAGGGAAGAAAGGGGGAAAGACGGAGTATAGAAAAGGGGGAAAAGGAGAATGATGAGAAGGGAAAAGACAGAAAGGGGGATGATATTATAAGAAGGTATTTTTTATACCGGGAAAGGGGTGAGGGGCACTCAATTTCGCAGTGTGCATAAAATAGGGTCCCTCTTGCCAGGCGTGAAGCCCCCAAACCCCAAAATGCACAAGAAGAACACAAAAAAGGGGGAAAAGAGAGAATTTTATGAGTTGAAGGAAAAAGGAAAACAAAATGAAAGAGAATAAAACAACGATAGGAGAGAAGTGCGAGATCCTGAGGAATTGTATTTTTCTTTTAACAGAATAATGGGATAACAACCAGGGGCGTCATGAAAGAGGGGGGGGGGGGGGGGAGGTGTGTGTGGGGGAGGGTGTGTGCGGGTGTGTACCCCTCACCTGTCAGAAAATTGTCGGTAGAATTGCGCTGCTGTCGGGAAAAATGATAAAAGTGGGAGGGAAAATGAGAGGGAAAGGGAAATAAAAGAAAAAAAGGATAGGAAAAGAAAGGAAAGAAAGAGAAGAGAAGAAAGAAAGAGAAAAAAGAAAAAGGAAGGAGAGGAAAGAAAGGGAAAAAAGAAAAGAAAGGAAAGGAAAGAAGAAAAGGAAAAAAAGAAGAACAAAGGAAACAAAGTAACAGGGGATAAAAGAGAAGAGAGAGAGGGGTTATGAGCCTAAAAAAAGTGGGATGGGAGTATACTAGAGTACTCTATACTGTTTATTGGATATTTAGCAGCTGATAAATAAGTTGTTGACATTGTTTTCAACCTGATGGTATCAATATTCTCTTTAACCTTCATGATGAAGGGATTTTTTCCAAAAAATGTTCCCACCTTGTGTTCGGAGGATTTAGCAGAAAGAGAAGTGTATATTCTCACGGTTAACAACCTTGTAAATTGAGGTTTTCCAGTCCATTTTAACACTTTTTCAATACATTTCATGCGTTTTTAAACTTCGAGAAAAATCCCCCTCAAATGACCCTTAAAAATGGGTAGGGGTTTCGAGGCTTCGATCAGCTGCGTACCCCTGTCCAAACCAAATCTGAGTGCCCCCCCCCCCCCCCCCCCCACCCATGGAGTGGGAACTAGAAATCCCATCCGTGCCCAAGCGGCCTTCTTACTAAAATTTACCTATATTTATTTACAACCCTGCCGACAGCACACTAATTACCGGCAAAGTAAAAGTGAATTGTGAAAAAAGTATATTGCTTGTTTTTTTATACTATAGTTTTGCTAAGGAATGTAATTTTTAATACACCAAAACTTCAGAAACCTCTGAGGGGTTTTAACTCACATATCCCTGATAATAGTCACCTCCGTCACCTCCCCCCCCCCCCCCCCCCCCCCCCCCCCCCCCCCCCCCCCCCCCCCCTCTCGATCACATTTCGCCCCGCTCCCCGGTCATGGAAAGAAATCGCCGCCCTTTGCGTAATCGCGAGCTTATGAACTACTGTAGATCTCGTTCTGCTGCATGACAGGTGTTTCCGAATTTGTCATTTAAATTAATTAATCAAGCGTGCATTATCGCACTGTACGCATGCGCAATCGGATTACCAAGATAACTACTAGATATGGCTAGCTAGCTTGGATATTGTGTGTGCACGTGAAGGAGCGACAGTGCCAGTGTTATCGTAAAAAGGGGGACCTTTAACCCATTCCTACTAACCACTCAGCTGTGACGTGAAACTTTTGTATACAGTTTGTGACGCAAAATAATCACCCTGGAGAAGCGTAATTCTTTCGACTATTTGGACTGTGTCGATACAGACGAGACAGTGGAGTCTGCTATACTAATCAAGCCCTCAGTTGCACTGCCTGCGGTTGTGCGTGAAGGTGAAGGGAAAGATTTGGCACACGTCTCAACCTCAGCATTGCCACCGCTGCGAGAGTCTCGGAAATTAAGGAAAGTTCGTCGAGGAACTAGACTGGAAGAACAAGCCCAAGAACAGATTTCTGATAAATCTGTTTCCGGAGAACCTGAAAATATATGCCGGATTCCAAGTGAAGCTAGTGTTGCGAGTGCCAGTCGTGTTGTTATACCGCCATTTACACTGCGGTCCTCAAAAGTTGCCCCTGATCAGCAGAAGAGTGGAAACGAAGAAGGCACAATGTCGGAGTTGGAGCGAAAGGATACAACGTACGAGCTAAAGTACAGAACGGGCAGCGACCATAACAGACGTTCAGTTACGATGCCCGATTACAGGCCTGCTGGTACTGGTCAAGAAGAGTTTCAACCTACTGCAACAGTGCTCCGGCATTGGGAAAGCTCAGAAGATCTTGGAGTGACGCTTCATCAGGTCTGTAATAGATCTACTGGCATTGATTGCGACTAATGCAAGACCACTTTTTCTGACCACTTTACAAATACATGTAAATACAAACATAAATTGGGATTAGTCTATATACTGTAGATCTAGATCTAGATCTAGACTAGGTCTAACAACGCGTCCCAGAATAAAGGAAACTGAGAATTATCGATGTTTTATCATAACTTAATCACAATTATAATTAATATAATGACACATATTTGTAAAGCTTACATTATGTAGCTAAGATCCCTCTCTTTCATTTGAGGCAACTCATATGATGCATATTTCACGCATGAGTGGTTAAAATCAATTTGAAGAAAGGGTACCAAAAATTCATTTGGCGGACAGTACATCTGAATTGCAAAGAGAAAATTGCATTTCTAGAAAGTTTGTTTCCTGCCTTTTCATATGACACATCAATCAGGAAAAATGTGCTAGGAATAAAAAAGTTCTGTTTGTTTAAAGTAATGCTTGCATTTTCATAACTTATCAGACAAATTCGTTTTCACTGGCTGCCTGCCGTAGCAATAAACAGAATTGACTAAAGACTTAACTCCGTTTCGTTACCGATCGGCCGTAGCAGGGAAAAAAATACATGGGGGCTCGAGGCGAATTAGCCCCCGAAATGCCCAAAAGAGCCCCCAAATTTTGAATAGACTGTCTAGAGTTCAATGCAAAACAAATTAAAGAGTGTTATTTTTATGCAAGCAAGCTTGAAAAGTAGCCCCCAACATTTTAAAAGTATTTTTATACTTGGGCCGTAGATGAAAGACTTCATCCTTGGCTGATTGATTTTGGTATTGGCCTCCCTACTAAGTTACGTACTATAAACGTGTTTGTTTATTTAAATATTGGGCTGAATTATATAGACTTCTCCTACATGTACATTTTACATGGAGGAAAGAGTTAAAGTGGCACTACCATGTATTTGTTCAGCTTATCAGCATTTCACGAAACCGCATACAGTACATCATGTACAAGTACAAATTCACTGACATCCTATTGAAATGTGTAATAAAAGTTAATGAACATTTCAATGCAATACCTTCAAACTTGTACTTATAACGGTTTTGTGAAACGATGCCCAGGTGTACATGTACATCATGAAATTCAAAGAAAATCACAAATATCACTAGAAACTGGTATTAAAGCTAACAGATGGCTTCGTTCAAGTTTAAGGTCAAATACAAATTGGGTGATTTTTTAAAATACAAATAAAACCACCTCCAAAGCATAGATCAGCGATAAACAAGAAATTCGCCAAAAAAAAAATGATGTTTTAATGACGTCAAATAATGCACCAATACTGCCCAAGCAGACGACGATGAATGATAGCATGGACGGCATGTGATCCGTCTTGTCACGCCAAACATACCGTGTATGAAGCTGAAAATACAATGGCGTGTTATTTTGTTTACAAGCGACAGATTCCTTCATTTTTTTTATCGCTGCATTTTTCATCAAAATGGTACAACTGTACCATGTGTGGGTTTAGGAAATAATAGATAACATTTACAAATGTAGCCTGACGGTAGTGAAGTAAGAGAAAGAACTCAAGAGAAGATGATTTAACAGGCACTGAAAATGTGTGAGATGTCATGGGACATCGTCTGCTTGTGCAAATCATGTCCAACCTGCGTTCGGAGAGCTCTTCAGGTGCTATGCCAGGCTATATTTATAATAAACATTTTGTAATTGATAATAATCATTACTTCAAATGTTTCCAAGCATTGAATTTTGATAACCTTGTCCAATCAAAGTTTCACCTTTGCAATAATGAAAATAAAGTTAGTTTTAAAAATCAAAGAATATCTACTTTAGGGGATTTACATGTACATGTACATCCCTTTATCTGCTGCACCCTTAACATCTCTTGAAGTTGTAAATTGTAACTGTAACCATGGACATAAATAATGTACATGTACAGCACATGTACAGCTTTCAGAGGGTGTGTCCTTAATAGATAGAGTGCACTGTGCACCATGCCCTTCAAGTACTAAAAGTATACCCTAAACACATACACATACTGTAGGCACAGTGTATGCTTGAGGCTGTATTATCTGTGTTGTCCTTTGGTATCTGCTATAAAAGTACATTGTAAACAAACGCTTTGTTTTGTAAAATGCAAATTACATTGTATTTGTCAGTTCCCATGAAATTATGAAATGCACCATTTAATATGAAATATTATTAGAACTCATGATTGTTTAACATCTCTATTATTTAATTCAATGTGGTATACATCATGTACCGGAGTACCGGAGTGTTGGCTCAGTCAGTAGGGCGTCCGCCTCACAACCGGGAGGTCGTGGGTTCGAACCCCGACCGCGTCATACCAAAAGACGTTAAAAGATGGGAGTTGTTGCTACCTTGTTTGGCATTCAACAATAAGGGATAGAGCAATGTCGATCTGGCGCTGCTCAGTGGCTGCCGGCTATTATTATTATTATTATTATGTACAATGTACTGGTACATAGCATTATGTTACAATCTGGAGTGATCATACATGTACATGTACACTTCATAGGATCATAAATTTGCCTTTGGAATCCATTGTCAGCTCGTGCACAAGATATTGAAGGATTCATTTGTAAAACCGGTACAAGTAATTGCGGGTAATTACAGGATATTTGGTGTGGCTCAGAGGAAATCTGATTGATTTGGCTCAACACATACAATACACTGGTGCTGCACGTGTGTACAATTACATGGTACAGTGTACAGTACATGTGCAGTATGCAGTGATGCATATGAAGTTGACAGCTCAGATTTCACATGTTCACTACACGTACATACAGATATAAAACTCACACTTTACAGATGAAATTCCCAATAACATTTCTTTTATATGATCACTATACAAAATTACAAATGTAACCTGTGAAAGGGGAAGTCCACCCTATATTAATTAAGTTAGTTTTGATAGTTAGCACATTGTGTTTATCTCCAAATTAAATTAAAAAAATATGCTTAATTGTGTCTTGTAAATCTTCCACAAACTTTTTTCCCACATTTGTTTTATTTGTTTCATCTTTACTATTACTTTTCTTTTTCTTCTACAGCTTGCTCGTGATGGGGACGCCATAACTCTAAAGAGACTGATAAATCAGATTATAAAGCGTAAGAAGAAAGCCTTAAATGCCCTTGATGAGAATGGAATCAGTCCATTACATTATGCTGCCAGATATAATCATCTCCCTGTGGTCAAGATGCTGGTCGACAATGGAGCAGGTAAGATATATAGAGAGGTTCACATGAAACTCTATTAACTTTAAGTTACGTTGTACGGTTAAAGTGGAAAACAAAAGACAATATTACAAAACAATAAACAACCACAAAACGACAAGGAGGAGTAAAACAGATAAAAGAAGATGACTACATTGTAAGTGTAAAACATTACATTCAAAGACAAAGGAAAAGGCAGAAATATCAGATAAGATCAACTGGAAAAGAAAGATGATATGTTCACTTCAGAAACTTTAAAGTTAATCCAGAGATCTTGATATCATGAGACTGTGAAAATGTAAATTATTGTGATTAGTTCTTCAAGTGCCCTAGCTAGAAAGCCAAAGTTAGAGTGAAACAAAATAGTGATGAGTGACTCTGCTTATTTCAATGAAAATTTAAACGTAAAAGAAACAAAAACATGTCATAAGTTTTTTTAATACCGGTAACCATAAGTCTAAGTCAGAAAACAGCAAAAAAAATAATGTTAAAGTCTGAAATAATATTGCTAAATATACATATATCGCGAGGTTGTAGTGTAATGAACTGTTACTAAATGTTGTGGTATATAAAAAATATTATATACCTCACTTAAGAAATCCAGCCATCTGATTGGTCGAAATTGCATTCATAAACTTTAACTGTTCCTGTAAAATCAATCAGTTAATGTTTCCCCTTTTTCAAACAAAATTTCAAAATGATCGGTCGGTTCTTAAAATATAATGAGTCAGAGACAGACGGACAACCCAAACCATAATGCCTCAGGTCACTTCATTGGTGGAGGCCGAAAAATACTAATCAAGATGAACTTATATTTAATAATATGCAACTATTTTCAAATTTTATGTTCTTCCGTCCATGTATATGAGATACATGTAGAAATTTACCTCAACCGCATCTTTGCGGTGTAGATATGTTTACTATGTACATACAGGTGTACATTCCTGTATACATGTAGCTTCAAATACACAGTATGTATAAATAATGACTATTTCTGAAAAGTATTTCTTAACATGAAAAGTCTTATTTTCTCCCAATGTGGGGATGATTTGTATGCTATCACGTGAGCTGTAAATGTATACATTTTTTGTATTTAATGGATGCATATTGAATGTACAGTGTACATACAATGTATATCTTCAGTGGATTTAAATTTTAAAGACCGTCAATACTACTGGGCCAGAAGGGATTAGACCACACAGCGAGGTCACTGACAGGTGGCTCTCTCTCATTAAACTCAGCTCTCAACTAACATAAGAAAAAGAGGATCATGGGGGACCAACAGGCACCGATTTGGGAAGTAGAGAGAGCAAGTACATGTAGCTAGGGGGCTTTAAAAGTCACCGATGTTGTTTTTTCTTTAATACTTGAATGTATTTTCATTTATTGCCCATATTCTTGCAGATGTTAACTGGAAAGGAGAAGGAGGAATGGTCCCTCTTCATTTTGCTTGCAAGTACAAACATTCCAAATATGCTGGCTCATTAGACGGTGAAGATGCGGTAAGTTTGCATGCATACATATTCATGGATTAATACATTTTTTTTAAAACATTAAATTCCTTCTTTAATTATTTGTAAATTGTAATGTTCAATGTATTTGCTTGTGTTTTCATTGAATGTGCTTTGATTTTATCTTCAGTCTAGAGAGAAGAACTGCCTTCGAAAAATTTGTTTTTATTTTGCTCTTTGTGCTTTACATGTCTTAAATGATAGAAACAGGTGTGAAAAAACGTATTGAATATATAGAAAGAAAATTCAGCAACTGTAGGATCCAAAATAAGCAAACATTACAAATAAAATAGGATGGATTCAGAAAACCCCATTGTAGGAAATTGCTCCTTTTAGTATACAGAGCATCTTCTCTAAGAAAAAGAAAAAATAAGCGAATGGTTGATGATTAAGTTTAACTACTATCCCTCCAAAATACAAAATTTCAAAGAAAGTATAAAAGGCTAGGCTTTTGCAACGTGCAGTACGTGTGTTTAATGTACATGTGATGTACATGTATGTTTGGCCCAATATCAACATGACACATTATTACCAGTGAGTATTGCATAGTGTGGGAGGCTCTAGATACCAAGTGAGCTATTAATAGCAATGATGCATTGCTTGTATCTTCCATTATGCACTATAGTGAGATAAGACACCTACTTTATACTATATATTGTACTTACAGTATCCCTTGCCTATTTGTATCACTATCAAATATCATAAAATTAGTTCTATTTGAGAACAGTTTTGAGAAAGAAGAAATGCTGAACAAATTAATAAACCATGTATAAACATACACTGCATCATGTGTACAGTGAAATCCCTTCTATCTCATAGGTATTTTCGTAATGCATAATTTGTGTTTAGGTGCAAGGTACAAGAGGGTATACAAGTAGGTGTGGCACTGCAGGCAATATCTCAATACCTGTGAGCTGCAACCTGTATCTTAGCTGTGTCACGTATGAATCTGTGGGAGGCTCATAATACAAAAGCATATTTTCACGACAATAGAATATTTGTTCGATAAATAGAAAAGAATAAATAGATTTTTGAATTTGCGTATGGCCTAGTGTTTTGAGTTGCACAGAGGACCTGCTTTACGTACAGTGTAAATAGATTATTAAGATAATTGTATATGAAGTAATACAATGTGGGTTTTAAACTTACACTGTATGCTCTGTGGGATTATACTAAATTACATATTTTAGGTCCGAAGAGAGAACAAATAATGGGCATGTTTACTTTTCCTATGGTCTGCTTGTTTTGACTTTCAAAAATTAACTTCAAATGGATGTTTTATAAAATACAATGTACTTGATAGTTGAAACCATGCACATGCAGTATTGTGTACATTTATTCTCTTTTAAGTTTTGTGCTTGCCTGTTCTATATCATTATTCATTAAGAATGTTTTGTTGCATTTTACCCTACCCTGTACATGTGCTTCATTCACTGTACATGTACAAAATGTATTTGTGCTTGTGTGATATTTTGTTTCTTATCATTTTAGCACACAGGTGATGTTCCAAATGGTTATGATGAGGTAATAATGCCAAACATTTTGATAATCTGTCTCCCAAATGTATTGTGCACACAACCTGGTATCTGTTCTACCTCCCTCTATTGCAATTTATAAAGCACACTGTCTGATGAGAGCCTGAAGAATGTGAACTTCTGGGGGGGGGGGGGGGCGTTTCTCAAAACTTGTCATCAGTGACAAATGACAGATTTTGTTATAAGCTACTGAAATCCTTGCTTTTGATTGGTTATCAGCAGATTTGTCACTGACTTTTGTCATTTGTCATTGAAAAATGGCTTTGTGAAATGGGTCCCTGCATGGTAGCTCGGCAAAATTTAGTGGCGCGATAAGATGCATCCGGAATGCAAAAAAGAGAGTAATTTTGAAAGTTGTGGCAAAGAAATACATTGCCAGGACATGAATCTGGTAAATACTTTAATCATTAACTACATTTACCTAGATTAGGGTTAAAGTCCAAGTCCACTCCCAAAATAACTTACACGTACACTGTACTTTCAATAGAAGCAGAAAAATCAGATAAACCAATCAAAATTTTATTTTTCTGCTTCTATTTATGAGTTTTTTTTTGGAGTGGACTTAGGCCTACCCTTTAACCCATTGCCTATGGGGAGTACTGTAGGTGGCTCCTGTATGAAAGCCTATAGAAATGAGAGAATTCAGGATTCATTGGGTTTATTACATGTGATATCATTATCACCTATTAACTGTCATTCAGACATAAACAGGAGCTTAAAATTTTATTGGTATCACCTAATACACTGTAGTGTTCTGGATGCGTCGCGCCAATGCATTTGCTAAAGCTACCATTGTGTTCAGTGGTTTTATGTGTGAAGTGCTTTAAAACACACCCTACTGGCTCTCAGAAGACAATGTGCTAAAAAATAAAATTCATTCACAGACTGGTTACACTCTGAGTTGTAAATGCATGCAAGTCTCTTTCTAAAAGTTGTACCATTGGATCATCCTTTCGCAAACAGAAATAAATACTAAATAACATCAATATGTTGATAGAATTAGAATTGTTCACCCTGCAAGACCTGCTGCATATTAAAAGTAGATTACAAATCATTACAAACTATATTCATGATGTATACATGTACATAAAATCTGTTCATCAAGCTACATGTAGCTAGAAAGGTAGATTTTGTATAAATTTCCAATTATTTAGTGCAGCATGTAAATGTTCACTGTAGAGATTTTTACGGTTAATGGACATTCTCAGTTTCCAGACAATTCAAATTCTTAATCTTAAATTTGTACTTTGGTACATTGTACATGTAGCATTTTTCCTGCATTTTGTGTACACATTGTAGTGGTGTGCACGGTACAAATGTAGTCGAAGGGATAAGGAGTTCATTTTGAAAAGTGTACATTTAGTCTGTATTTCATGTTGGGATGTACATGTACGTACATGTACAGGTGTATGGAGTTTGAGGTGTACTGTCCACATAATTCTTCATAGAAATATTGGGCCTTTTGCAATAAAGTGATAAATCATAGTTTGTGGACACCTCAAATAAACACTGGTTTAAGAGATTTACATTTACAGGTGTATGTGTTTTTCCATGTACTGTAGGTGTCCACAAACTTAGAATAGAATTGTAGATTTTTTTTTTTACAGCGCATTGTTTTAGGTCTCTGATTCAGTTCAACTACATGTAGAAACCATTACATGTACCGTTATATACATTTTGTAGATCACCTTGGCACAGGAAAGGTTCATGCACTTTGCAAATACATGTACTGTCATGAAGAGCATTTTATTGGCACATCAAAACAGACAGAAGTGATTTGGTGGAAGTGATTTGGTGGAAGTGTGCATTTACTGTTTATTTTTTTATTATGGTGGAGGTGAAGGTGTTATTTATAATGAGGGTATACAGTTACTGTACATGTATGTTTCATATCCTGTTCAGATATTATTGATATTTATATGAAACTTGTGTTAAAAGAAATGTCATATACATGTATAAAGAATCAACTTACAATGAAAGAATGGTACAGACTAGAAAACAACATCATAGAGAAACATCACATTAAATTACATTGTATATTTGAAAAGGTCACTGAATAAAAAAATCTGGCCAATTATTAGTGCGCCCTCACAGAAAGCCCTACCCAGTTGTACACTTTTCCTACGATATGCCATTCAGACTAAAACGGGATGCAGATTCTGTATTGCGTTTTCATTTGAAACAATGTTCAAACGTGCATCTTGTTATAGACGTTCAGACTTGGCTGTGGTTTTATTTTTGGACAATTGTGAATAGGCCTTCATGCACATGAACATCTTCAAACCTCCAAATACTATTTAAAATATCAAAAATTAAAAATCAGATTGCACATTTAAAATCCTCTTTGTGGCTTGTTGCTATGGGAATTTGTCTTAATTCCAAACAAATTCAATGGATATTCTCTGGTTAAATCCTTATTTGCAAAATGTGTGCCCTTGATTCTTAGAGAGCATATTTGAATGTTTAGATACCTTACTACCTGTGCTTACACAAATCATAAATTTGTCATTACATAATGGCAAGTTTCATTCAGGTTGGAAACTTGCCTTGGTTAGACCTATTCCAAAGAAACCCAATTCTGAAATGAACTTCAGCAACTTCAGGCCAATAAGTAATCTCCAATATGTGTCGAAGTTGGTTGAAGGGGCAGCCACTGCTCAAATTCAGGATCACCTCCTTCGTAACAACCTTTTCCCTTTAACACAATCGGCGTATAGAAAGTATCACAGTACAGAAACCGCTTTACTAAGAGTTAAGAATGACCTACTTATGGCAATGGACCAGCAGAAAGTTACATTTTTTGTACTTTTAGATCTCAGTGCCGCCTTCGACACTGTCGATCATAATATACTAGCTGAAACACTACAGTCTGATTTTGGGATTACAGATTCTGTTTTATCTTGGGTACAGTCTTACCTGTGCGATAGGGAGCAACAAATATCAATTGGTAACACCACCTCAAAGAAATTCGATGTTAGATGGGGTATTCCTCAAGGCTCCAGGCTCGGACCCCTCCTTTTTCCCTTTATTCGAGTCGCCTTTTTGCTATCATCAAAGCATACTCTCAGCACATATCTTGTCACTGCTATGCAGATGATACCCAGTTATACATTTCATGTAGCCCAGTCAGGGAACAAGAACAGTCCTGTGTTTCAGCTCTTGAACACTGTCTAAGGGATCTTCGTAGGTGGATGTTAAGCTGTAAGTTGAAACTCAACGACAGCAAAACTGAATTTCTTATTATTGGAACACCTAGGCAAGTGTCAAAACTTAATATAAATTGTATAACAGTCGGAAATACTGTAGTCGAGCAGTCTGTGGTTGCAAAAAACCTTGGTGTCTGGTTTGACTCTCAGTTGAACATGGAGACCCATATATCCAAAACATGCAAAGCAGCCTTCTATCATCTGTACAACCTACGTCACATTCGGAAATACCTAACTCGCACATGTATCA